CAAACTTTGTAAATTAAAATAAACAAAAATTGTAAATATGAATTTTACAAATGAAGAAAAGCGTATAAATACTCGCGCATCAATAGAGTGGTTCAAACATGATTTTCATTATGGCCCCCCCCCTAAAATGAAAGAAATGTTAAACATTATTTATATCATAATTATTTAGACTCAGGGATAGAAAGAGGTGGACCAATTGCATGGGCCTCGATTACCTGACATTTTAGATTTTTTTATGCGGTATGGTTAACGAAAAGGTTTACAAAAAACCTTATGAATTAAGAGAGGCACTCGAAGTGGGGGTACGAGAGAAGTTTAATTAAGTCGACCGGTCCTTCTGTGAGAATAGGTAGTAATTCAGTTTTAAAAAGATGCAACTAAAAACAATGTCGGATTTTTTGAACATTTTCTAAAATAACTTGAAGTGTATGTAGTGATATTATTTTTTTAAGTTTTAGTTCGTGTAATGTAAATTGTAAAGAACCGTTTAATAAGATATTCTGACATTTATAAGTTATTAATCATTACAGAATAAGAATACCATTCAATCTAAGTGAAATTAGTCAAGAAAGATATGAATTGGCTATAACTAATTTAACTTTTCTAATATGTCTTGAAAACCTTTCTCTAAAAAACGCAAGATTCACCGGTCAACGTATCCTCAAAAATGTTTGGTCAAGAAAAATTAAACCAATAATAATTCTACACAATTTTCTTAGTTGAAAAATTGATATTTCCAATTTTTGTTTATTTTAAGTTGCAAAGTTAGGATGTGACAGTTTGATATCTTAGAGCAACGACGATTGAACTTGTTTCCATGGCTAACTAGTGAAATTGTTTAAAAATTATAAGAATTAACTATAACTCAGTAATTTTTCGAAGAAATCATATTATAGCTTATATCGCCGAAGAGCTTAAAAAATTATGCTTTTTAGGAAGTCATGGCCAACTATGGTTTCCATTTAAAAAAAAACATATGTTTGTGTCATATGTCAAAAATGACAGGCTTTAGAGAAAAACGGAGGACACAAATCTCATTAAGAATGTGATTATCTACAACTTTTATCTGAAAACCTTTTGTCTAAAATAGCTTATAATGGAATTAGGGATAATTTTTAAAATAGCCGAAATTTGTTTTTTTCGCAATATCTAGTAAGCCATAAACTTTTTCAAAAATCTGAAAGGCGCATTTTATGACCCCACAAAACTGCAATTCTTTCCCCATTTAACTGACTCTCTATCTCTATTAGTTTCCGAGATACCCATAGAGAACATCGTAGGAAACTCACCCTCTATGTATGGATTTTTAATGATTCAAAATTTATTAATAAATTATCTCTCCGTCATTATATAATATCTTATTACATTCCCAAATCTAGATTCAAAGTACACACGAAAAATATTGTATTTTTTAAGTATTCTCTCCATGTAAAAATGTTATTAAATAACAATAGTACGCTAGAGCGTAAAGCAACATCTAGTTTCCGGTTTCTAAAAATACAGTAAATATTTGATAAAATCGAAGAAATTTCTCCTCGGTTCTTGTCACTACTGAAAAGTGAGTGTATATTTCATAGGAATCGAATTTACGTTTGGGTTGGCGAAAAGCGGGAATTTCCAACGGTGTGACAGCACTCCGCTGAGACATTTATTCGTCTGGAATAATGCTTCATAGAATTATCTTTAAAGTATCTCTGGATAAATAGAAATCATACATTGTTATTTGGTTAGATGCACCAATAAAAACAGACCCATTTTAATATATTTTATTCAACAGCCACTACTTATACAGACATTACTCACATGCATATAACATAAATAATAACAAACGGGTGAGTTTTTGAAGTTATTACAAATTAGTGTGTTATAACTTCAAAATCACACCATTTTATAGAAATTATTAAGCTTTATTCATAAATTACTAATTCAATTATTTATTTAAATTAACACTAACATTAAATGAAAATGACTTTTTTGTAGACTATGAAATTGTAAAATCTTGTATGCCTCCAGATGCTGTCTCTCCACTGCTTGAAGTAGGCTCTGTCATTACAACGGCTCGTTTTGGGCCCGTGTTCTGTAACTTTGAAAACGGTAAGCGGTTTTAGACGCTCAGCGTATGTGGCGTTAATTTTCGCTGAGCGCGCACTTAATGATTTCGGTATTCTCGTCTGATGCGCTTAGCGTCTTTACTGATTGCGCTGAGCGCTTTGAAAACGGTTGCCTTAAAGGATCGTTTTGCTTGTCAAACTGTCAGTGAAAATCGAAAAAATTGTAATTTTGTGCGTTATCTTGCTCTTTAGTGAAAATTACTACTTCTTCTATAAATTCCCCAATAAGTAATTGATAATTTACAACTTGGCAGCTATAAATATTGTTCAAAACATCGAAAATGATAAGAAGCGTCTTCAACACTTCCCTCGTATAATAAGAATAATGACATATCCATAGAAAAATAGCTTGACATAACTCAACAATAGGTTATGAAATTCACGTAACATTGACATTTTTCATTGTTACATCCGTCAGTTATCAACTTTTGACTATTAGCTACATTAGAAATTGTGATGTTGCCAATATGTGCTCAACGCGTATCCAGAACACGATTCGCATGGCAACGAGAATACAAAAATCGACTGCCTTGCGTTTCGCTGATCGAATACTTGCGCTCACCACTTTGAAGGCGTAAGGTTTTTATGTCAAAGTTACAGAACTCGGGCCCTGGAACACTTACAGCACCTTGAATCTTTTTCGCAATCCCTATTTTATTGTTGATGGATAATTATCATATAGAGAAAGTTTGAGGCTTTTTGATTTTACCTCATTAATTAATTGTTGTCAGCTAGTAATTGTTAATTTTGAAGTTTACCTTAATATAATATGTCATAGGACACGGAAATCAACTCAAGAAACTCAAAAGTTTTGAAAAAAAAACATTTAATTGAACTACAATGTATAATTGTAGATACATTTAGACAAAATACATAAATAAAAATTTTATAAATTAAATATGCAGAAATGTAGACAGAATTTAGCCAATACGGTAGAATTTCAAAGCCAAATGTATATTTTTTTTTATAAAAAGTGGAGTCTGCATAGACAATGCTTTATTTTAATAATAAAATACTTTGGGGAAAATTGAAAGAGTTTAGATTTGCATTGTCTTCAAACATTTTCAAAACTTTGCTAAAGTTGGTATTGCTCAGACATCTGTCCATTGATTTTGTTTTCTAAAAAGTTTTACTATCGAGACTCAAAAGATAAATTACAGGATTATTTATTAAAAAAACTATACAGGTTGTCCCGTTTTTGTGTCTTTAACCCTTAACGGCTACACTGAATAATTTTTCTTCAACCGCCACAGAGTAGCTTGGTAGACATCTCTATTGAATTACATTCTCTATTATTATTATTATTTAATTAGTAGAAAATAAAATGTTTTGTAACTCTCTAGACTTTTATGAGATTACCTGAGTTAGTTAAAAATATACAAATGTCTGGTAAAGGCTTGTTTTGAGTCGAGATTTCGGTATGTAAGAAGAGTACAATGCGTTTATAATGTACTGAACAAAGAGAGGACAGTAAAACTGTTGACAAACGTATGAAATAAACCGAGAATCTGTACACATTGCTAAGAGACGTAGAAGGGGATATAGCAGATTCATCATGGTCGACCGGTCGACCCAATCATTACTTAAAATTCTAGAGAAAGGTGTATATCATGCGTTCAGCTTTACGATTTAATTACGTCTCGTGATACTTTATCTGTTTATTTATTAAGGAGTCGTAATTTTTACTATAGCTTGTAAATTTTTAAGTACAAAACTTTAGAAACACTTGCACTTTTGATAAAAATAAGTGGAATTGAGTTGGTGTTCGACAGGGGTCGCGCTATTAGAACTCTTAATTCAAAAGTCGATATCTCGAAATCCATCAGAAATAATTGATTGTAATTTTTTTCTGAAGCTTTCTTAATATTTCTGCTATATTTTCTTCGCAGACAGTATGTGAAAATCCTTACAAATAAAAAAAGTTACACGATTGCTGAAAATTGCTATGCACTAAAAGTAAATGAACGTTTTTTTTTTAATTTTTGAAAAATTGAAATAAAAAAAATAAGCCTATCGAATTTTCCTCATTTAAACATCTGTAAAAAAACTTCAAAATGAAGATAAGTTTCAATATCTAAAGTGGTTCTTGAGTTATCGCCTGTTAAGTGTTAAAAAGTTGAGTTTTTAAATTATCGCGATTACTGACATTTTCTCGTTATAAAAAAATGGTATATCAAATATAATAAAAACGATATCCTTATAATTCCAGTTTAGATGCTCAGGAACATATCTAATGATTTTATCTAGTTATATTTTCGAAAAAAAAAGTCTTTTAAAAATAAGCGGTTTGGTACCGTGATTTTACTTTACTTGATAGGGAAAAAAACGTGTTTTGATTGCTTTGGTTAGGTATGTTTTGGTTTGGTTTGGTTCATTTTTTTCGGTAGGGTATTAACTACAGTCTAAATACAGTATCTACTAGATTAAGTTCATACCTACACAAGAAAATGATCGTTTGTAACGTTTTTAGTTCGTTACATGTATTTTTTATATATGATTTATATGATGTCTGGCGTATCGTCATCGGATTCCGTATCGTTCAGGCCTGATAATTTATTTAGCACGCTTGGCGTAATTTTTACGTTCTCTAGTCCATAACCCTGTTATCGCTCTGTGGAGGATACACGATATTAAATAAATACGTTTAGTAAGGTTTCCCGCGGCGTACTTCGGCACCTTTTTCGTCCTGCCCGATGAGGGATTGGAGTGCATGAGCAATCGGTGTCACATAAGCATTGTAAATGTGCGTACCGGAGAAATGTGGCAACGCAGCAACAGCATACCGTCGCATTTCTCTCGCTCCGACTTAATAAGATCCCTATGCGATTTACTTCCACACATGTAAATATCGACCCAAAAGTGAGAGTTGCCAGCATGGTATAAACTTACCGGTTTCGAACGTCGTCATGGCGTCGGTAGGCAACCACTGCCTCCACAACCTGCCCAGTTCTCTCCTGGCTAGCGGATCGTCGTGGCCCAGCGCCGGAAAAACGAATTGCGAGGAAAAGGTTTTCCGGAGCAGATCGGTGACGTTCTGGATGATTTCCAACAGCCGTCCCTCTTTCACGTGCTTGGTCGCGTGGTGAGATAAGGCGTCGCTGCAAAGAAAGAGATCCGGTTAGATTGGGCGGAGAACGAATTTTCGAGGTTCTAATTTTCGGTTGGATCGGTGTTTGAGATAAGAATAAAAGGAATCGGGTTTAAAGAGATCTTATTTCGGATCTTGTTAGGGCATTAAATACTTTTTTTCAAACGTCACAAAAGTATTAAACATAGTATGAATTTTTGCGACTTGACTGACAATATAAAAAGTCATTTTAACGCCTAAGTGCGCCTAAGCATAAAAGTACGAAAATATATTGTTGAACTGACAGAAAGTGTCAAATTCAACTAGCGTAACCATAGTTTCTCGATAGATAATTACACACAAGGTATTACTTTTAAATCTTTTTATATTATTTCGAATGTATGAAATTCTTTAAACAAAATTATTTGTGGCGTTTGAAAAAAAAAATAGTATATTCTATTCGGAGTAAAAATAACTTTTTGTGGCTCGCCTGTATGTCGTACGTCAAACGTACAGCCTTGCCACAAAAAATTATCATTTTTCCTCTTAATAAAACAATATACTATTTTCTCGTAGAAAGTTATCCTTTGTATCAAATATTATAAAGAGACGCCGTTGTTTCAGACACATACTTATATGCACCACACTGGGGAGAAAAAATCAGTCTCCCGGTAGCCTTTTAAATGACAATTGAAATAGCTTTGTGATTAAATTCTATATGTATATAGGTTGCAAAAATAGCCATGGTCTCGTCCATGGTATAATTAAGCGGTCATTACATAAGGTATTAATACTGTGGTCCAAACTGTATTCCGGGAACTTTGGCGTTTTAGGACATAGTTTCGGAGGAACAGAGGTTATTTAATTTTTATTTCTATTTTTCAAATCATTTCTGAAGTAAAGTCAGTATTTAGATGAAACTGTGTCTGGGACTTTTTTGACATGAGAAATTTGATTTTGATGTCAACATGACACCTACTCGTAGAGGGCGCAACCTACATGCGTTTTAACTGTTTTGAAGAGTAATAACTTTTCGTCCGTACCTGTTTTTATACAGGTACGGGTACTACTGGGTAAAAAATATACATTTTCGTGAGTTTTTACGTAAAAAATGTCTCTTGGTAAAAATCGCTGCAAGCAACCGTTCTCAAAATATTTAGAATTTGGCACAAACAAAAAGTTATTACTCTTCAAAACAGTTAAAAAATATGTAGGTGGCGCCCCCTACAAGTAGGAGTCACATTGATATCAAAATCAAATTCCTCATGTCAAAAAACTCCAAACACTAATTTTCATTCAAATATTGACGTTACTTCAGAAATTATACGGAAAAAATCGCAATGATACTTCTACACCCTGTATCTCCGAAACTAAGCATTTTATGACACACATTTGTACGAAGTTCTTTACATATTTTTATCTGCAGAATATGCTGCCGAAGTTTCCGGAATACAGTTTGGACCATCCTATATGTAACTTAATTTAGATTTTATAGCAGATAGGATGACTACCTAGTCATATTTTAGTAAGCTACAGGAATGCGAGTTGTACAGAGCCTTCATATAGAAAAATCTGTTTTAGTGATAAAAAATTGGGGGGGGGCACCAATTGAAAATGAATAATACGAATAAAAAATGGTAGTTACAGCTTCCTTGTTGTGCATGTAATTTGGATTGTTCAAACGGCTTGTTAGTGAGACAGTTATTTATTTTAAGGATGTAAAAGAAGATAATTTCCAGTTGAAAATTGGAAATTACGACGGGACAGTGCAGGCTGCTACCGGCATAAATGTGTGCGCTGTGGATCGGTTATTGGTCAGTGGCAATTGAATATGCGTGTATACATACATATATACGGACGCCATAGTGCATGCTGTTTGGCGTTTTGCATGCACGGCGAGACCGATGTAAAGTGGTCGCCGTGTCCATTCAATTTCACTGCTAATAAAGCTACACCGTTCCGTACTTAATGTTATAGGAAATTCAGAGCGTTTACTCTACATATCGATGGAGAATCAAAGCTATTTCGGCGATTTGCGTATTTCAATTCAGGAAGTGGTAGAAGCAACATTTTCGACACATCGTGTGTTTGATCAGATATCTGTAAATCTCATTTATGTTAGTTGTAATGAAAATCTAAATCAACAGAAATTAAAACAAAATTAAATAAAAGTAAAATATTTTAAATAAAGGAAATACTTGTTTTATTGTTAGTACCGAAAGTACTACGTTACTATCCTATCAAGAACCTGCAGAAGCTGGTGCAGGGCATAGGGATCGCAGACTGGGTGTAGATACAGAAAGAAGACAAACGACATAAGCCTTAAGAGTTCATTTCACAAGTAGCAAAATAAGCGTTCGGCATTTAACGTTTTATGTAAAACTGGCTAGGTATTTTAACCCAAATAAAGAAGGAAATTAAAGATAAAGGATTATACTATATCCGTATTGTAGCACATTTTTACACAACTTTATTTTTAAGATTTTGATGGCCAAACACCAACAAAATATTCCTTATGTATGGATTAAATTTTCTCGAAAATAAAGACATAATTTAAAATTCCGTTACAATACGGAAATAGATTGAAGTTTTGTGATTAGAGTGATATATAATTTATATGGTTTTGTAACAACTTGATCGCTGTTTTATGACAAATGCTAAAGATCTGCAGACTTTAATTGATCTGTGATTTAACACGACAAGATCAGGCTAAGCCTTAACCGACCCCTGAGAAAGACCCGAACAGTACAAAAAAAAAACAACGCTTTATTGTACAAAAAGCCAAAACAGCTTCATCGACAAAGCAAAACAAAAAAAGCACAAAAACAAATATACACATAATAAAAAAAATGTCATACAATACAATACAAATAAAACATATATGGACATTGCAGAACACAGGCGTATCTAGAAAATTTTACAAAAGGAAAACTGTAAATGGATAAAATCATGTTATAATAACATAAAATCAAGAGTTATAAAATATTAAATACTAGACCTTTAACCAGTGTGTGAGATGATCAAAATATTAAAATTAAAATTCTAAATTGTTCATGATTAAACATCAACAAAAAAGTCGTTTACCGCATATAGGGCTCTCTCCAGTAAGTATGATTTCAGAGCTTTGCGAAATGCGGGAAAGAATGAAAGTGACTTGATATTCGAAGGCAAATGATTGTACATTTTCTTGGCATTGTACAGTATTGAGCCCTTAACTAGTTCTGAGCTCGGGGTTGGCAGATAAATATCGTGCTCCGCATTCCTAAGTGGATAGTTGTGAGAAGGCCTTTCCGGAATAGAGAATATGTGCTTGCGGATTAAGCAAACGGATTCAAAAATGAATAAGGAAGGAAGAGTCAGTATTTTGAAATTTTTAAAGAAATTCTGGCAGTGAGTTCTACTGTTTAGTCCCAATAAGTATCGAACTGCTCTCTTTTGAAGTTTGAAAATACGATCAAATTTTGTCGCGCAGCAAGTACCCCAGAATGGAAGGGCATAACGAAGATGCGACTCAAAAAGGGCATAATAGACCATTCTAGAGGTTGATGAGTTAAGTTCCTTAGACACTGATCTTAGCGCAAAACAGGCAGAGCTTAGTTTCTTTGATAAGGCTTCGATGTGCAAGTCCCATTTTAAAGAGTTGTCCACAACAAGTCCTAAGAATCTCACAGAGTCCACGACGTCAATAGTGGTGTTATTAAGTACAAAAGGTTGTATAGTACTTTTATATGACAAAACTTTAGTTTTTGAAAGGTTGAGGCATAGGAGATTAGAATCGTACCAAGATTTAATGGTGCGTAAGTCACTGGATATAGTGGATATAGTAGTGCCGTAACATCTGGGCCGCTCCAAGTGAAACTAGTATCGTCCGCAAAGAGGCAGATTTTACCGCTAATGTCTAGATTTGCAATGTCGTTGATAAACACCAGAAATAAAATAGGACCAAGTACTGAACCCTGAGGGACACCACATTCTATAGGCTTACAAGAAGACATAGACGTGTCAATCCTCACAAGTTCTGTTGTCCTCTCGGCTGTTCTGTTCTTCTGTTGCCAAGATACAACTTATGCCATTCGAGCGGCACTCCCCTGAATCCATAGTTTTGCAATTTGTTAATTAAGATATTATGATTTACACAGTCGAAAGCCTTAGAGAAATCACAGAAAATTGTAGCTGTAGAGTGATGGTTATTCAGGCTAGAATATACATTATTAAAAAGGTCGAACATAGCATCATTTGTACAACTGTTACTTAGAAATCCAAATTGATGGGTAGAAAGTACTTTATATTTAAGGAGAAAAGATAGAAGCCTTTTTTTAACCAATCTTTCAATGATCTTAGATAATGTGGGCAGGAGAGCAATTGGGCGGTAGTTCGAAGCTTGATCTTTATCTCCTCCTTTATGCAGAGGAATAATTATTGCTGTCTTAAGGCAGTTTGGAAAAACTCCTTTTTGGAATGACTCATTAATTAAAGTAGTAAGATAGATTAATGTGCATTCCGGAAGTTCAGAGAAAATTTTGAGAGTAAGCAGCGAGAGTTACAGCGTAATAGACTCTTAAAGGTTGAAGTGTTTCCAGCATAGAACAGCCCTTTAAAAAACGACGTCATTGACATCCCATTTTTGCAACATCTGTTTGACTTTCCTGCGAATACAGGGCAAACATTCAGGGCAAAGTATATGAAATATCTTGGATTCCGTCGATTTTCAGAGCAAACGCTTCAGATTTCCCAGCATTAAGAACGAAATGCGGCAGCTTTATTCTCGGCGATCCGTACAGGAAATTGAATGGACACGACGACCACTTTATACCGCTGCCACCTAAACCGACAGCAGACGGCACTATGCATCCGAATATATGTATACACATATATTCGATTCCCGCTGGCCAATAACCGACCCTAAACGACCCAGAGCGTACACATTTATGCCGATAACAGCTTGCATTGTTTCGACGTAATTTCCAATTGGAAATTATTTCCTCTTAACAAATGACTCTCTGACGAGGCCAGTGTTTTAATTCATCCAAA